TATTCAGTGCGCCCCCTCTCTTTGTGCTGAAGTGAATTGATTAACCTCAGCTATTAGCCTACTTTTTTATTCCATTGTTAGTAATTTAAAATATACTGATCACAGTTTCTGACGCTCCTTCTCTTAGATGCTGAAGTGCTAAAGCCAGTCCAGAGGGCTAGTATCCCTGCAAATTTCATCCACTCCTGTTCAAAGGGAAAAGAACATTTTCCAAATTCCCCCTAATTTTTGGGTAGGATTGAGCTTCATCTTTCATGAAGAGGCTTACAGGGTGGTTTACAATCCCAAAACACAAAAATGCATACCGTAGTAACAAACAAAAACAATAACCCCTACACATACACACACACACACACACACAGAGAGAGAGAGAGAGAGAGAGAGAGAGATTAAAACGGCATAGATTGTTTAATTGGGCAAAGGCTTGGGAAAAGAAGAATGTTTTTGCCTGGCACCTAAAGATATGTAATGAAGGTACCAGGCAAGTCTCCCTGGGGAGAGCATTCCACAAATGGGAAGCCACTGCAGAAAAGGCCCGTTCTCATGTTCCTGCCTTCCAGACATCTCATGGAGGAGGCACATGAAGGGCTGCAGATGATTAATGCAGGGTCTGGGATGGGGAGCACTGGATTGGCTCCACTGGTGCACCCACAAAGTGGGTGCAGGGTGACAAACACATACGAAAAATCCCTCCCCAGCATGGAAGCAGTTCTGATACTCCAAGGGGAGCACATGAAGAGTCAGGGGCAGAGTGGCCTGCAGTCCCTGCAGAAGCTTCCTACTAAATACCACAACAAACAAGGACACTGTGCTTGGTTGGAACCCCTCTGCTCAAAGATTTCTGCAAAGTGATGCTGAGCTTTCAAATTAAGGGCAGTTAATGAAAATGGATCAGCACTAGCTGTTATGTGAGCCTTACTGCACACATTCAATAGGTTCATTAGGATGATGTTTTGTTGTCTCTGTCTGAGATCTGTGTTCCATCTTGCTATTGGACTCTCTGGTCAGGTATTTTGTGGGTCGACCATAGCATTTGGAATTAGTAATGGTGGTAATGCATCTGCAGGCTCTGTTTGCAAGTGTGTTGCTGCACCCACACTTGACAACACACACCCCCGTCAAAAGAAATTTGTGTTTTGCTAGAGGAATAAAAATGCATTTTCCTCCCCTTAGCAGAGATGCCCTGCAGAATCCCTGAGTTGCATCAAGCTAGAGAGAAAACTGTGCTGCAGAAGCAGATAGTGCTGCAAAATTTCCAATCTCAAGAGTATTGGATGGTGAGCGTTTGGACATTTTCCAAAAGCAGAGCTGGTGCACTGTCAGTCTCAATTAAAGATGCCTTTCCATAAGGAATATGCTTCTACTTTCATAGAATAATATAATAGAATCATAGAACTGTAGAGTTGGAAAGGACCCTGAGGGTCATCTAGTCCAAACCCCTACAATGCAGGAATCGCAAGCATCCATTAAGTAATTCATCAACTACTCGTCTCCCACAGATTTGGCAGAAGACGTCTTGCCAAAAGGTTGTCCAGCCCAGCACTCCAGCAGCCATTATGATACCTCTGAAAGCTCACAATCAAGGTAGGAAGGTGGCTTAGCTTTTTCCTCTTCTTTGTCACCAACATCAGAGGTATTATTGGCATCCGTCTGCCTCAAGAGACAATGGGGGCCTCCCTGGGGCACAAGCCTAGACAGTGTGCATGGAAGTTCTAGGTTGCACAGATGAAGAAGAAGAGTTTGGATTTGATATCCCGCTTTATCACTACCCGAAGGAGTCTCAAAGCGGCTAACATTCTCCTTTCCCTTCCTCCCCCACAACAAGCACTCTGTGAGGTGAGTGGGGCTGAGAGACTTCAGAGAAGTGTGACTGGCCCAAGGTCACCCAGCAGCTGCATGTGGAGGAGCGGAGACGCGAACCCTGTTCACCAGATTACAAGTCTACCACTCTTAACCACTACACCACACTGGTTATAACAAGACCCTCCTCTCAGCATCGCTGATGTGGTCCAAAGGAAAGCAGAGCAATAAGTTTGGCATCAGCTTGGCTGCAGGAGTTGCCGGAAGCAGGCGTACAAGGCCCAACCCTCTTAGGGCCTCTGTTCCAGATTTACATAGGGTTGACTCCTTAGCCGCCTCTTCTCCTGAAGATATCCCGTAAGGAAGAGGAGGTTTAGGATCCGTTTTCCTTCTTGAGATGGGCTCCCTTCCCAGGTCAACAAGAACCATCTTTCCCCTTGCTCCCTCTACAGCATGAGCACAAACTGCCTTCCTGACCGTTAGACCCACTATTGGTCTCAATCCGCCAGAGCCTGTCTTTGCATACTGTCTCTAGATATGAAGGCTATGTTTAGCTGCTGATGGATCTACTCCAGGGGATGGGAGTCTGGCCTGGAGCCTGCATGTGGCCATGTAAACATCTATAACTGACCCAGGGGAAGCTTCCAAGGCCACATACCTCACCTTTCATATCCTACCTGGCTAGAATGTGTTCTTCAACTCTGATAAAGCCTCTTCCTTGCCTGGATGGGGGGCAGAGATGGGTGCATGAGTGTGTGCAGCCTAGGTAGCACTTACATTCTTTGCTCTGCTTGCTTTTGCTTCTGGCCCACCCCACCCCTGGCTTTTGAATCCCACACCCCACCAGAGATTAGCTAGATGAAAATGTGATGTCTAGGATGCAAAGGTTTCATTAACCCTAATCTACTCTGTAAGATTTTTCTTCCACTTTCTTAAATGCATCAAATGTAGCATTTTTCACTGTATCTTGTGTTAGGAAATGCTATCAGTCATGAAACCTCATGTTGTCACACATAATTAAAAGCTCCTGTGAGACTGAAGCATCCACCTGCTGGAGGTGGTGTCAGAGACCTGCTGTGTGCCGGAATGAAACACTGCTCTGGCCCTGCCACCTTCCATTCAGTCTTCATTAAGGGCAGTTTTCCCCGCTGTCTTACTGCATTAGGTGTGATCGGATAAGTCAATTATTCCCAGCACAATTACCCGCTTTGAGGAGGCTGGCCGCCGCATCTCTGAACGAACCACTGTTCAGGGCTTCTCTCTGTCGCGTTGCTTTTTTGCTGGGAGCAGAGACTGGCTTGAATTGGGTGTGGCTGGGTCACAGCCAACTCAGGCTTGGGAGAAGAAAAAATAGCTCTGGGTTGTGAGTATAAGTTCAATCCCCAGCAACTACTCTGGTCAAAACCACCAGGCAGCAGGTAATGGGAAAGGCGTCTGCGTGAAACTCCTGGGAGCTACCAATCAGACGAAATAACACTGGGTCAGACAGACAAGTTTAAGATAGCTTCCTATGTTCCTCAGTCCCTGAAGATGAAAAACACCCATCTAAGGGCATAAAGTCATTCTCAGCATCTAAAAAGTGGCTTCTGAGGCCAACGAAGGCATTACAAAATAAAGAATTCTTTTTTAAAAAGGTGCTATGTACGCTCTAAACTCCAGTTAAATATTTAAACGAGGCCAAAACATTGCCAGATATGTCCCCAGCTGCCCTGCATGTGACGCGACTAATCAAATTTCCCAGATTTGGCCACTAACATCTGTTTGTTTTGTGATCTGCATCTGATACTCCCACAAATGGCTGCGCTTCTTGCTGCCTTCAAAGCAGGAGGGTGATGTCAATTTTTCAATCAGCAGAGGCTAGTTAAAAAGCAATAATGATGATGGCTGACACATTTCCATTAATGTACAAGATGTACACAGAGATAGATCACAGGGCTGCAGCTGCCAGAATAGTACAATGTGGCCCAAGGGGCCTGCAGCGAGAGGAACTGGAAAACAATGCTCTTTATCGCGTTTTCAGGCTGCTTCGTAGTCTCAGGAGGGCCAGGGCACCTTTAAAATGGACCAAACAACATACAAAACCATAAATTAGAGCAGCTATTAAAACACTATATAAGGAGATGGAAGGTGTTTGTTAGCGAAGGACCATGCCTGGCTGAAGACCAGCTTCCATACTACTTTCCCATTAGATGCCATCTTGGTGGCCAGAATACCACCCTGGTTCCTCTGACTCTTTTGTGCTGCTCTCATTCATCTTCATAGGGCTTCCCCAGGAAACCCTGAGACCATGGATCAGATCTGTCTCTCTTCCATTCTGCTGCCCTTAACAACCACCAGTGGATATTCATTCATCTGACCTCATGGTAAGGTCTCCAACCCAGAACAAGGGTCCTGCACAAATTTGCACTCATGCCTTCCGAAGTTTCACGCTCACGCCTTTTGCATTGCTCCTGCATTGCCGAGGTCTTTATTCTTTCATCCCATATACCTGCTCTCTCAACCTTAAAGGTAAAGGGACCCCTGACCATTAGGTCCAGTCGTGACCGACTCTGGGGTTGCAGTGCTCATCTCGCTTTATTGGCCGAGGGAGCTGGTGTACAACTTCCGGGTCTTGTGGGCAGCATGACTAAGCCACTTCTGGCGAACCAGAGCAGCGCACAGAAATGCTGTTTACCTTCCCACCGGAGCGGTACCTATTTATCTACTTGCACTTTGACGTGCTTTCGAACTGCTAGGTTGGCAGGAGCAGGGACCGAGCAACGGGAGCTCACCCCGTCGCGGGGATTCGAACTGCCAACCTTCTGATCGGCAAGTCCTAGGCTCTGTGGTTTAACCCACAGCGCCACCCCCATCCCTCTAACCTTAAGCTTAGCCAAATCTGTGTGCAGCCATGTTTGCTTGCATTCTTACCACATATCCCAGGGCTTCTCTCCCCCCCCCTCCTTTGTTTTTAGACTATGAAGACATGGTGGTGGTTGTGAAGGAGGCTACAGTTGTTGCTTTTAAAAAAAACCTATTGGTCCATATGCATCTATTGTTTTCTTTATCATTTAACAAGCCCAGTTTCGCTAGATAAAATAGAGTGAAATTGAATTCCAGACCGAGGGGTAATTTGATACTGTTCTGTTAAGGCACAAGGTGATAACAGCAGCCGAGGTGTCACATAATTACAAGCAGTAAAACCACAGTGGAAAACCATACACGGTGGAGGGAGGCAGATGGACAAATATTTATTTGGCAAGTTCAACTTAACATACGATTTGAGTTTCACCAGCATATATCAGCATATACACACAACGGACCAAATTCTGCTCTCGGTTTGTAACAGTTTTAAAACCAAAGAATGGTTTAACTCATCTAACTGGGGTTTACAGTTGATTTACAGGTGAAAGTTGGCCCATTACAGATTTGGAAGGGGGAAATCTGCCTACGTTTCCAGAAAAGGAGAAAGACCTGGAAAACAGTCTGCATTTAAACTCTATTGCAAGTGCAATTGCAGAATCTAATATGTTAATGGCTCAGAGATTAAGCACAGCTGGGGTTACACCAACTTCCTTCGGAATACAGATCTGTGAAATAACGCAATAGGAAATGTACTTCTGGCCAGAAACTTAACAATCTTCAGCATTGCAAAGTTATCCTTTCTCACTCGGGAGAATGCAAGCAGGCAAACTGAGAGAGTGCCAAAACAGATAATCCATTAAAGTTAACAAGGGGGACGTTAGATCCTACATTTCTGTAATGGACCAGACTTCAAAAGTCACCTTGCACAGAGTGGCATCTATTAGGAAGCAGATGTTGCCAGAGAGCAGCAGCGGAATGGACTGCAATCTGGAGAGAATGCATACATCTGCAGTTCAGAGCTGACACGTGCTGTTTCACAGGTATTATGGAAGAGTTCAGAAACGGAAGAGCAAAGATGATACAGAAATATTAGGCCATTTGTAAATGTTATCGGGTGCAATCAGGATAAGTGATCAGGATTAGTAGACGAGTGCACAATATTTTCTGGTCATCCAAAGCAAGGAGTAGGAGAAAGCCTGCCATTAAACATCTGGCAACACGATGAAGAAAGCACAAAGTCACTTCTCTAGCTATTGGGTTAATGCTTCCTAGAAGGATAGACAGCCATCCTGAAATGAAGGTCAGAGCAGGGATTTTCAGCAGGCGATGTCTCTAGTCGGGCAACCTCTAAACAAAAATGCATGGTCCTAATTTCTTTCTCCAGGAGTCCAGAGCACTGTGAGTTGATGCCAGATCAAAAGCTACATCGCATGAAAATGCACACTTAGGGAACAAGGTGGTGTGAGGAGAAAGAGACTCTTCATGCAAATACCTGTGTCACTGGCTTAGAAGCAATTCCTCTACCAAAAAAAGAGAAATATCCTTGCAATGCTGACATTTAACTTATGTGATTGACACCATTTTGAATTAATTCAGATCCCAATGTGCATATGATGAAGCCAACAGGAATTTACTTTTTGCTTCCTAATAACCAGCACACTATGTGGTTGAAATGTGAAGTACTTCTTTATGAAGCGCTTTCTGTGGTTGGTGTGGCTTTTATTTTGCATATGTGATCTTGCTGATTAGACCCGAGTTTGCAAGTCAAAGGAGTTTGCATTACAAGCCTGCATTTCTGGCATATTTGAAAGTTTCTATAATATTGCTGAAAATTCAAGGAAGCGGCTTTAGGAATTCTGCCCATATTGCAAGAATCTATTGGATGCCCCCTATCTAGACAAGCATTAATATACTCCATTTTAAGTCTGAATCTTAAAAACTGATTGCTAAAGCCCAATGCTGCATTTTAGCAACAATGTAAGATCTTTGGGCGAAAGAGAAAGGAATGTTATTCTGTAAGAACCATACACAAATAAGGAAAAATTGTGTTCCCTAGTATACTCATTCACTTCTTCTCAAATCAGCAAAACGAGCTTCCAGTAACTACCAGCTAATTGTGGGAAGTATTTGAATGCATTTCACGGGGAGGGAGAGAAATGAAAACATCAGCAACAAACTAAAGTCATGTGGAGGCAACGCCCAGCCTTCCTGAGCATGGCGACTAATGCTGTTTTATACGGTACATTTACATCTTAGTTTGGATCACGGGCTGCGCAGCACGGATGTGAACGCTGGGCAGGCAAAACCACGAGAGAGGAAGCTCCCTGCTGGAGTTGTCTTCGTGGAACTGGATGTTCAAGTAGAAATCGCCCGTGTACAGAAAGAGTAGGGCTCCAACGCACACCGAATTTTCTGTTGGCTTAACCTGCAAGAGATGGGGGGAGGGAGGTATTTTAGCAGAATATTCATTATCTGTATCCTGCAGATCAATAGTTAGAATCATAGGATTGTAGAGTTGGAATGGACCCTAAGGGTAATCTAGTCCAACTTCCTGCAATGCAGGGATCTCAAGTAGATCATATATGAGAGAAGTCATCCGACCTCTGCTTAAAAACCTTCAGTAAAGAAGAGTCCACCACTTCTGGAGGGAGACCGTTCCACAGTCAAACAGCTCTTACAGCCAGAAAGTTCTTCCTGGTGTTGACAGGAAAGGAGATTCCAACAAACTTGAATCTACTGGTTTTGGTCCTATCCTCCAGAGCTGGAGAAGTTTGCTCCATCCTCCATGTGACAATCCTTTGAAGTTATCGTATTTTTCGCCCTATAGGACGCACTTTCCCCCCTCCAAAAATGAAGGGGAAATGTGTGTGCGTCCTATGGGGCAAATGCAGGCTTTCGCTGAAGCCTGGAGAGCGAGAGGGGTCGGTGCGCACCGACCCCTCTCGCTCTCTAGGCTTCAGGAAGCTATCCGCAAGCCTTAGGAGCCCGGCGGGAAGTCGCGCCGGGCTCCCAAGGCTTGCGGACAGCAGCCTGCAGCCCAAAACCTGGGGAGCGCAGCAGAGCGTGCCCCGGGCTTCGGGCAGATATCCGCAAGCCTGGGGAGACCGGCAGGAGTTCCCGCGGGGCTCCCAAGGCTTGTGGATAGCAGCCTGTTCTGGGGGCTGGGGTCGGGGGAAGCTCGGGCTTCCCCCGCCCCAGCCCCGCGCCTGGGGGGGAAATAACATTTTTTTTCTTTATCCCCCCCCCAAACTAGGTGCGCCCTATGGGCCGGTGCGCCCTATAGGGCGAAAAATACGGTAGCTATCATATCTCCACTTGGTCTCCTCTTTTCCAGGCTAAACAGACCCAACTCCCTCAACCATTCCTCATAAGGCTTGGTTTCCAGAACCCTGATCATGTTCCTTCCAAACATTTCGGTGGGTGGCGGGGATAAAACTTTAAAAATTCAGCTGAGGATTATAGCTAAGTAGCAAAGCATTTACACACGGAAGGTTCCAGGTTCAATTCTTCCTATATCCAGGTGGAACTGGGGGAGGGCTCCTGTCCGAGGCCCTGTAGTGAACATGGGTAACTGAGTGCCTGTCATCAGGAAGTGAAATGGGGTCACCTAAGGGCAGAAATTTCTACTTTCTTGGTGGGGACTCCTTATGTAATAATAACATATAAGATGGTGAATTAAAGGAAACCAATCATTTTGAAAAACCCCTAAATGGCCTATGAAACGCCAGAGTTTCTAAAATGTCAAGGTGTTTTTTCTTTTGTGAGTGGGGGTGGGAGATGACAAAACTGGAGGTGGGGTGAGAAACAAGAGGGAACTGGCCTGCTCAATCAACCTGCATTTGGGAGGAGAAGAGGGTTGTCCGGGTGTTTGTGTGAACTTTGCTGCAGTTTATGGGAATGTATCCTGGAGTGAATAAAGATTCACCACAAAACTTTGTCATGGGTCCTATTTGTTCTTCCAAAATTCAGATGGATCACTGAAACCAAGCTCTGGTGTCCCTTTATTATTATAGATCCGATTGAAACTACAAGTCTGGAGAATATCAATGGTAAAAACGGGGACGCGTTGAAAGATGAGTTGCAGGTTGTTACAGACGGGATGAGAGCCGCGAAGAATTGCACTGGCTTGCTTGCTTTTAAATTGGCACGCGTCCGGTCTGGTGTAACATATTACTTGGGGGGGGGGGGAATATTGGCACAAAGTGAAAGGGTTATTACTAAAGTAGCTGGATTTAGGCAGCCAAGAGAATGCCAAAGGGAACATCAATCAAGGTAAAAGTGGGGGGTTGGGGGGGTGAACTGGGCTCTCTCATAGCTTTGATTCTGGAACAAAGAGCAGCAGTAGGCAGACAAGTGATTAAGCCATGAAGGCCCAAATTATTTTGTCAGGGTCACCCAGCTATAGAACTTGAAGAATCCAGATAGTAGAAACCGGAGAGCTACGCATCCTCTGCCTTTGGTGGCTGTTTTAGGTATAGTTTAAATAACCACCTGAGGCAAAATCAGCTTAGCTTTTGGTCTAGCAATACTCCGTAAAGAGGTTTGGTTTGGATTTCCCTGACTGCTCTCTAAGGGCCTTTGGTTTATTACTTCACACAGACCCAGGTTTGCTAATGAAAGCACACTCAACAAGAAGCACAGCCAGTCTCGGCTTCCTAATGAGTGCGTGTGCATGAGATACATCTTTTCAAATACAAGGTTAACTTCACTCGCAGTTCGGATTTGCATTTCTAATGTGAAAAGAGCACTTAAGTGCACAGTGGAGACGTTTTACAGAGATGAAATGTGTGACTCTGCTCCAATTCATCTTTTCTTCACCTCCTTTCAGAGGGTTAGTTTCCAGTTTCCAGCAGTGGCTGCAATAATAATATAACAAGAGCCACTACATTCACCCAGTCAATGTGCAGGCAGCTGAAATCACCCATTAATGCAACATTCTCTCCTTCAGTTACTGCCTTGATGTCTTTCTTCATCTCTAGGGTTTGGGATGAGAGCAGCATCCATCACAATTTTGTGCGTGTGTATATTCCTCTGCTCTGTCTATATTATAGAGCTCATATCCAAGGATAACCATATTTCCCTGGTTCTCACTGTTCCACTAGTCTTCTTAGAAGTTTTATGTTCTCTCTTAGCACCAAGCACTCAAATTCCTCTATTAGAGGTTGGAGGCTTATGGAATTAGCATGTAAACACCAGAACACTGTGTTCCTCTCTCTTTGTGGAACAATTTTTCTTACGACACTCTGGCCCCTTCGAACAGTTCTCACTTGTTTTTGTAGGCTCATTGCCAAGTTCTACTGTATCTCCAACTTGGAGAACCTCAAACATTTACTTAGTGGTGGAGGCACCCCAAAGGGAATGATCCCTGCTTCCTGAAGGCTTTCTTCAAGAAATCAGCTGAAAAGTTGCTCTGCAATTATGATGGTGGTGGTTGTGATGTTGCTAGCACTCCAATTCAATCACAATTCATGTCAGAGGAGAAAATCAAATTTGGCAAATTTGGCTTAACTTGTACAGTTCAAACCACTCATCAAAGTGCACAAACATTTGTGATTTCCTTCCACAAGTGCTTCCCATAAGTACTTTGAGGAAGGAGGCCACCACTTGCCACTTTGCAACTGCTTTCCCATGTGTGGACCAGGAGTTAAGCACGTTTGTGTAGCGTGTAACTGGATGAGACTGGATAGCTCAGTCGGTAGAGCACAGGACTCTTAATCCCAGGTTTGTGGGTTCGGGGCTCACGTTGGTTGGATGACTCCTGCATTGCAGGGGGTTGGACTAGATTGACCCAAGGCCCCTTCCAATTCTACGATTCTATGATTCAGCAGGGGACCGTGCATAAAACAGTAAATTCTAAACTGAAAGGCAGAATGCTAAAGGATTTTCTTAAGTTTAGATTTCTAAAAGGTGGCTGATATAGGTACAGTGGTACCTTGGGTTATAGACGTTTCAGGTTACAGACTCCGCTAACCCAGAAATAGTACCTCGGGTTAAGAACTTTGCCCCAGGATGAGAACAGAAATTGAGTGGTGGCAGAAGGAGGCCCCATTAGCTAAAATGGTACCTCAGGTTTCAGGTTAAGAACGGACCTCCAGAACGAATTAAGTTCTTAACCCGAGGTACCACTGTATCTCTTTTAGAATAAGCTCTGGGATACCCTCTAGGAAGCAGATATATCCAGCACTGAAGTCTACTTCTTGATCTATGATGCAATGGATGAGATATGCCAAGATACCTTTCACAGAAAACTCGTGCTTTTCAACATTTTTTCAACATCTTTTCAACATTCTAATGCGGAACCAGACAACATATGGTCATTTATGGATTTACCGTATCGATATATAAGGTGTTGGATCCAACAAAAGTGATGCCATCTTGGAGATCGTAGTTGTGGACGCCATTTTGGTAATCTTGGTAGGGGATCACCGTGAGCGAGAAGGGGCCTACGCTGCGCTTGCTCCAGTTGGTCAGCTTCACTTCCAGCTTCACTGTGTCCCCGACTGTGCAATCTGCTACAACATCGCAGTCACAGAGCTTTCCCTCCACCGACACATCTGTGAAGCAAAGACCCAAAATGACAAACTCAATAAGTTGTGCTTCAGGAACTTTGAATCCTTATCGGTCTCACTGCACCAAAATAAACCAACTAAAATTGGAAAGTTCACACGCCGGAACCACATCTACCCAGCAATGTATAAACCATTTTTCTATACTGTGTAAACATTGACCTTTATCATCCTTTATCACGACTTTCAACACCTTGTGATTATGTTTGGGAGAAGACGCATGATGACTAATGAGTTTTGAATTGTTGGTTCTAGAACTAACACAATGGACATTTGGGCAATGCCAAGAATAAACCACCAGGTTTTCAGAGTGACTTTTAGGAGCAGAGTATGTGCAGCCAAATTTGCAACGTAACACATATATTCACCAGTACCCACTAAGCAAAAGAAAACAGCTTTCTAAATGCTACTATACTAAGAAAAGCTTGCCTAGGTTTTTTTTCTCCCCCCAGCACGCACTCAGTCTGTTTCCATTTTTTTACTCTGCAATATGAGTGGGAAGATGGCAGCATGCTTCTAAGGTACTGGAATATCTTTTATCGCAACCCTACTCACTAGCAGCTGTCTTCCCAAAGTCACACACATCTCTGGAAAAGAGACTGAAAGTGACGTTCCCCCCACTTTGCACATGGTTCACGTTCAGGAGAAGAGTCACATAGATATAACACAGAATCATAGAGTTGGAAGAGGCCCTGAGATAAAATCTAGCCCACCATGCAGGTATGTGCAACTGTCTCTTACGGGGATTGAACCACCTGTGACCTTGGTGTTATCAGCACCACACCACCTGAGCTACCCAGCTAGTACCTGTTTTCAGCATCCCAAAAATAAAGTAACTTTTAAATAAATAAATAAATAAATAAATAAATAAAATAAAATAAAATAAAATATAATAAAATATAAAAATATAAAAAACCAGCTACCATCCCATCCTAGATCTCTGTGCACTCTCTCCAAATGTCACAAAGTTACATTTCTACGTACTTTTGAAATGTTTCCTCTTGTGAAATGTATCACAGTGCCAAATGAGAATTAATACGGCAGATCCTTGTGGACTTCCCATGGGCATTTGGTTATTCACTGTGGGAACAGAATGTTGGACTAGGTGGACAACAAGGCTCTTTTATGTTCTTGCTATTGTCAAACTGGCATTCAGAATCGACAATGTACTATGGATTTTAGAATGAATGGATTTTAGAATGTTGTGTTACTTTTATTGTTGTTAGCTGCTCTGAGCCCGGCTTTGGCTGGTGGGGAGGGCAGGATATAAAATATTATTATTATTATTATTATTATTATTATTAAATCTTTATTGAAAGCTGACCAGTCAGGTGGCCCATACAACCTGCGCTCCAACACTGATGAACGAAACATAACTTTGCTCTTTTCTTCTGTTGGTACCCAACATCACAACGCATGCAACTGTTCTAAGCATCCTTCCTCCATAGCCAATTAAACTATAAAGGTCACAAGACAGTAACATCTAATCAAACCAATTTATTTCATATTCTTCACAGCCAATTAGACTGATTGATTTAGGGCGTGTATGTGTAGAGGCACTAATTATTTCCTGAACTCAGCCGCAGTACTGGCCACCTATAAAAGTGTAAAGACAGCGGTTCCTGTCAAATGATCAAAGTATGTTTGCACAGGCCTATGTGGGTAGCAGAATATTACGGTAAGGCACATTCAGAGACGGTCAAATGGGAACATCAAAAGTATTTCAAAGTTTCATTCTTCCCTTGACACAGAAAAAGCCCATTGTACCACATGGACCTGTTTTCATATTTTTCAGCAGCAAATGGAAGAAAGAGCTTTGTGAACAGAGTCCAGTTGGTGTTGTTGCTACTTGCTAACACAGATGGCATATAAAAGCTGAAATTACTCTTGGTGTTGCTTTGGGAGTAAATCACTGTTGGCTCTAGCATGCAGAAGCTCTACATCTTTAGTACAGCAGCCAAATGGTGAGTGCTATATTCATCTTGCTCGGATTCAGATATGTTTAAAAAAATGACCATTAGCATTTCAGAAAATGAGAAGAAAGTGAAGTTGAGCATCACTGCAGAAAGTCAAACCAAAAGGGGAGGAAAACATCCGATATGACTGCCTTTCACGGGAGGAAGAGTTGTGCAGCAGAGCACAATCAACGGACTGAACTGCACTGTCAAAAGATTGAACCAACAGTAAATCACACTGTTCAAAGTTGGAGTTAACCCTTTACTAGCAAAAACAAGATCTTCACAAACTTGGCTGAGTGTCAAGGCTAATGAACACAGCAGCTCATCCCTGGTAGGTCTGGCATCCTGAATCAGTTGCCAAGAGACTTTCTAAGTCCCTTCGCTTCCTCTCCAGGGCTTTTCCCAAGCAATTGTAGACTATGCCTGCGTGCAGCCAAGCTCTGCTCTGCCCTTTTCATGCCTCTGCTGGTTCTGGGAGACAAGTGGCGGAGGGGAGCTTGTCATAGCAGGAGGGGAAGACACCGATGACTCTTCACCAGCTTGACTCATCTGTGCTTCTTGGCCTCGCTCATCCCACTCTCTTGCTTCAGCTTCAGCCTCTGATTCTGGACTTCTCTCTACCATAGACACTCCCTGCTCACTAAGCCCTGTTACCTCTTCAGCTTCTGACACCTCCTCTTCCCAGTCTGCCCAACTATCATTGTGCCACCACCACTCTCTGGGCTCTGAGTCTTCTTCTCTTGGTGGCAGGGGCTGAGGAAGGGGGGTGCGGTGGGGGAGAACCGCCCCGGGTGTCTTTGCTGAGGGGGGGCCTTTGGCGTGCTGCCCACCCATGACTCCCAAGCCTACCCAGAGCCGTTGGGGGAAGGGGGCAGCTGCGCCGCTTTGCCAAGTGGCATTCCCCCCTTCCCCCTTTGTTTTGACAGTGGGGAGAGGCTTGGGAGTCATGGACGGCTCCAATGTCCACCATTGGAGGCTCACTCCACCCCGTGGGCTGCTCGCTCTGCCCCGGCTGCAGGGCACACGCACCGCTCCATGCACCATGCTGCTATCCTGTATCTGGGAGGGCATCCTCCATGCCCCTCAGGAGCATGCCCCCCCCTTGGGAGTGCGCCAGCCCTGGGCAGCATAGGCATATGCTCCACCACTGCTTGGTGGTTCCTCGGCTGGTTCTTCCCACTTTTCCTCTGTGTCCAACCAGTCCATGACCTGCACAACATATTTATTCTCTGGCCTTCAACCTGAATCCATGGAGGAAGATTGTGCCTGCCTCCATGTTTCACACCACATACAACAATTTCTCAGATCAGGCCAACTCTACACACTGAATGACTATAAACACTTAAATGGGCCCAAGAACTGCTAAAGGCAGAAACGGCAGTTCACAGAGGACAGGCCTATCAATGGCTCTCTGCCATGATAGCTGAATGGGACCTCCAGGTTCAGAGATGGTACGACAACCTTTGAAAACCATGTGCTGAGGAGAGTTGTTATTTTCATGCTCTCCTGGTAGGCTTCCAGAAGCTTCTAGTTCATGGGTAGGCAAACTAAGACCTGGGGGCTGGATCCGGCCCAATCGCCTTCTAAATCCGGCCCGCGGACAGTCCAGGAATCAGCATGTTTTTACATGAGTAGAATGTGTCCTTTTATTTAAAATGCATCTCTGGGTTATTTGTGGGGCATAGGAATTCGTTCATTCCCCCCCCCCAAAAAAATATAGTCCGGCCCCCCACAAGGTCTGAGGGACAGTGGACCGGCCCCCTGCTGGAAAAGTTTGATGACCCCTGAATTTAGTTGCATTGTTGGGAAGAGGATGTTGGGATACATAGGCCAGGGGTGGGAAAATATTTTGCAGCATGACGTCTATGTTTCCTCATGGCCAACCTTTCTGGGACGTCATGCTAGCAGCCTGCACACACTGTACACACCTACGTAATGCACACACAAATGCAGGACTCTCTCATCCTATGTACCAATTAGGTGTTCATGGATAGCTGGACAGAGGGAGAGGGTTCACTCGCATTACATTTTTACTGTAATCTTGAACATATTCAGGAGTAAGCCTTTAAATCTTACTAAGAATCATGCCTACTGACAGCTATTTGCTCTCCTCTACACTGAAATATAAAATCAAAACTGATACTCACAGTGCATTGTAGAACCCTGCTGGTGTTAAGTGCTAACTACTAGTAATTATGGCGACAGCATTATGCTGCTATTTCTAATGCGACTTTATTATAAAGGAAGACCCCTTGCTTAAAAATAACAGCAAAGCAACAGGTACATCTAGGTGAGATGAATCACATGTATGGATAAAAAAAAAAAAGCTGTGAAATGTTTAAACAAGTGTTTCACTGCCATTATCGGCTCCTGTGTAGTGAGTTGTAAGAGCACACATTAAGATCTACAATGACACCAGCTGCGCTTGCCATTTTATTAGCTGCTAACTGTCACAGGTTAGAAAAGTGACCTCAACCTCCTTCTTTCTTTCTTTCTTTCTTTCTTTCTTTCTTTCTTTCTTTCTTTCTTTCTTTCCCTTCCTTCCTTCCTTCCTTCTTCTTTGCTTACAATTCATCCTGAACTTGGAACAGAACATGGGGGAAATTCTTACAGCCATGAGTAGAAATAAATTAGATGCTAGGTGACTACGTTTATGCCCATTTCAATTTTCAAAACATCTGGGGAAAGACTTGGGATTAAGAAAAATACTGCCCCACTGCAAACTAATGCAGCGTACAAATCAAGCTTGGTTTTTTCTTTCCTGGATGTTGAGATTAGGCAAGTACCTTGTCTCTCCTTTGTGTATTCTTTGTGAAGTCGGAAGCAGTTCCTGGCAGTTCTTGTTTCAGCTTGACTAGTCACATTTGATAGAAGTGCTCTGGGCTTTGGGTTCCCCCCCTCCCCCCCCCAAAAAAAAACCTTCCAAAGGCATTTCGAACACTGCTTATGTAATTTGTGTACCAGATACCCCCAAGTATGCCCTATGCTCCTTGAGCCCCCCTGCATAAATCATTTCCCTCAATTTTTCCAAACAGGCGGCCACTTTTACTTGCACACATACACAAAAACTGTAATTTCATGACAGTCAAGTCTCCTAGTTACTGAACATGCACGTGCTTTTGCTTTAAATCTGCTGTATGTGTTTCACGTCAGTTT